AAAATCAATAAAAAGTATAAGGGACCGTAAAATATTTACTCATAATGGTTATTTTTCTAATTATAAAATATGAATAAAGAAATATATATGCAATTAAAAATACAAATATTTTTGGAGGATATCCAGAACCACATCTACGTGGTGTCTTTTGGGTTACTCTAAATTGTTCTAATTTTATTAGGGGAATTTACGTTAGTGTAATACGGAAGCAAAATGTTTTTAGAGGAATTTACATTAGTGTAATACAGTAACAAAATGTTTTCAGGGGAATTTACATTAGTGTAATACGGCAACAAAATGTTTTTAGAGGAATTTACAATATTTTAGGGGAATTAACATGTGCCCGAATCTACAACCATGATTAAAACAAATAAACCAAATACCGAATACCTAGTGATATTGAAAACTGACGAACAATTTTGTGTCAACTTATCAGTTATCAGTTTTCGTTATCACCCTCCAAGATTGCTAAATAAAATGCAAATAAATGCAATCAAAATTAGGTATTATCTAAATTAGCGGGGGGGGGGGGCCTCCCCGGCCAACCCTTGCGGATGGCCTTGGATTTGATTCAAAGAAACAGTTGAAGAGTTGGAAGTCGACTCTTTGATTCAACTCATTACACTGAACTGAGTTGAAAGATTCAGTTTAGCAAAATGAGTTGGAATTTCTATCCCTAGTATTAAACTTTATTAATTTTTAAATAGTTATACTTAAGTGTTACATAAGAAAAATCCAAAGAGTATTAAATTGAATTAAAAAGTAGTATACATTTTATGCTGCGATACTTTTAACAATTTCGTAATTTTATTAATTAAATGGTTTTATTATTGGCATAGTTCTATCACAGAATAAATTAAAATTATTCCGTTTTACAATGTTACTAGTGGCAAACTGGCGTATATTTAATGAATTTAAATGATGAATTGAAATATAAAATTAAATTTCAATAATTTTATGTAAATGCTATAATACAACAGCAGTTGTAATTAAGTAAATTATCAGTCTATGTGTTAGGTAGTTACACTGCTGGGACTCCAAAGCAATGGCTAAATGATTTTTGAACTCCCTTATGTTCCCCATGTAAAATCTTATTAGTGACCATTCTAATTTCATTTATTCTGTGATAATACTATCTGCATACCAACGACGTTACGAGACAATGACTGGACTGACGGACGTGCCGCCCGCACCGAGTGGGATAAAACCTACAATAAATTTGTTTATGAAATGGGAATTTATTTTTTCTTCCGAGTGAAAGCAACAGCAGCAGCCCGGCCGGGGTTATTAATTGCCCTCGCCTTCTCGGCGTTATCGCACAATGAGACGGCGGTATTAAGCGTATCGTGTGCGCGAACCGGAATTTTTGTCGTTTTCGGCGAGAAACGATGATGGGATAGTCGGCACAACAGTGGATCACAACATAACGATATAGGTCCGAGACGATGTTGCGCAAGTCGTATTTATTTTATTTGTTTTTCGTCCACAATATTAAATATTAATATGCACACGCATATTATGTATTGTACACATTCACGAAATAAATTACATTTCCTACAGGCACCCACCTTCAGTGAGATATAGCTCTCGTTGTACCTACGCGTATAATAACGAGTTTGCGTTAATGTTCGTCTGTGTCGAGCTGTTTTCAAACCATTAAGTATAGTTGCGTTTTTTTTTCACCTATTCGTTTTATTGTTCCGGAACGAATTACTGTTTCCTCCTCGTCTTGATAATATGCATACTTGTTGTTTTGTTTTTCTTAAATATCTCATTTGTTGATTGTATATACGCACACAAGTACATGGTACTTGACGATGTACCCGATTCGGAAAGAGATATTCAACAATATGTTCTTTCAGAAGTGTAAATTAATTTACTCAACAGTAGTCAATATTAATGTAGGGAATACATTAATCAAATATTACTATCAACCAATCACATGTTTATTAAAAATCGATTTTAAATTTAAACATTTTCAAACCGTTAGATTTACTAATATTGAACCCGTCAACCGCATGTACCAACTGCACAAGACGTGTATGCCTGATGTGTAGAATCCAAGCTCGTACACGTGCAGCGTATCGATGCGTTAACACGATGTCCGGCGTACCGTGACGCGTTTCAAAACGAAATAATTTATTGTTCGATTATTGAAAAAATTAAAAACAAAATATTAACAACACAAAATGTTTTTTACACACTTATATCACAACGTGTCTATTTTAATACGATATTTAATAGTTGTTGGAAAATATATTGTTGTAGGTACGCTATTAAACGCATGTGGGAAGGATGCATGCACGTTTCGGCGTCCGCATTCGGACATAATGCATTATAATAATTATGTATTATGTAGTCTCCTGTTTTCCGCGTATATAATTTAAATGTTTAACGTTCTACCTGTACGCAAATGCTAGCTCACCAATCACGTTGTTTGCGTTGTACACAAAATATTTTCTAATAAGCGTTTTTTTATTTCAATTTCGAATTTGTATCACAATATTATCGGTGATTATTTTTCAAACATATCTGAATGCTGAAATAACTAAGACTTGTGACATCTGATTGAAATATATATTTTTCGACATTTTATGTCGACTTCCAATCACAGACGATTACCGCGCCATTGTTATGATTAAGTAAATCACGTAATATCTTTAAACGTTTATAATAATTTAAAGTATTCCGACTGAAAATGTGTCGTTAAAACAATATTAAACTCTACAATAGTATAAGGTAATACTAAGAATTGTTTTGCTTTAAACATCGAAAATACATTATATTTTGTATTGTGCCTTATTCTTAAAAATATTTAATACTTATATTGAGTCCTGTACAACTGTATGTTGTTATTATTATTGTTTGTTTTCTTACACAACCTTGACCATAATTGAATATTAGATTTATATTATTTTTTTTTTGATTATTAATTATTATTATAGTAGGTAAAATATGAGGACCAAAAACAAAAACTATATTTAACTTTATTTAACCTCGGTTCAGTGTTTTTATTTTAGCTATTTATTAGTGTTTTTACCACATGCAATAGCAATGATTATTTCTTGTAATGTATAATTTTATGGTTTGGTGATTATTAAATTATATGTAAATGCATATACCATTATCTACCATCCAAAATTCTGATTGGAATTTTTGCGTCCTACAATTCAAAGATTATGAAACTAACATTTCATTTTTTGTATTTACAAAGAAAAAATGTAATTTATTTTTAGTTGCATTATATGAACAGCGTGTATTATAAATATTTAATAATATAATAATAATAATTTATATAAGGTTACTGTGATTGTTCAACAACAGTTATTCATTTTTGATATTAGATATTTAAAGTTAGCTTGTAGAGTTTTTCAATAATGTTTACGAATTAAATTATTTGGGTGTTCACACCATAACTTTCGTTACGTTTTTAGTAACTAAACTTAAAATCATAAAAAATTGTTGAACTGTAATTAGTTTTGAATTATTGAAAACTAAAAGAATAATTTTTCGTAAAATAGGTACAGTTAAATCAACAGTAAGCTTCAGAAATATAGTTGTAAGGTCTTATCTAATTGTGAAATCTACTTTCGGAAAAACAATAGAAAGATTGTATTTACGAGTATAATGCGTTTAAAATATATTATCACTACTATCCTGAATTGGTTTACCAAAGTCCCAGTATTGTTTAAAATGGAAAACGTAATAACATATTTTATTAATTTTTTCTACAATAATTGACCGCACTAATGAAATTTAATAGTATTATAACTAAATTGGACATTCTGAAACTTGTGTTATGTATGGGAAATCCTGGGAAATCCTTTTCATATTACTGTTCATCATCGCCTAATCCTAGAATGCTCACGGTTGCTTTACGTACTTTACATTTTTAAAGATACCGTGAACCACAGTAATCACATGTTAGTTTACCAACAATGTGATTAATTTTCATTCCGAATTTCCAACGCATTTCTGTTGCTCACCGATCGTTATAATATTATGCTAGTTGGATTCTGAAAATAAATCTCAACTAGCCATTGTATTTATATATTTTTTTTAACTCCAAATCTTTCCATTGTTTTTCGTTTATTTTTCTGTCATCAATTCGATTTTTGGCTGTCGTAGTAAACTTTTGGATTTTTTTCAATCGACAACTGACAATTTATCGTTCTGTTGTAAGCAATCATAAGTTGCCCGTAATATCGATCAGATAAGATGACAAATTTATTTATCAAAACGGTTTAACGTGTTAAAAATTGTTATTGCGTTATTCAGATTGAAAAAAACATTCGTTTTCAATATATATGTAATTACTAAATCATCCATTATACAATTTCACGACTAGTATATTAGATAGGTACCCATTGTTTTTCATATTATCATATCTAACCCGTTATACATCACGACAGTATCACGATAACTTTTATAGTTGGAAAATAAAATGAAACAATACGTATATACATCTAATTAATTTATGAGCAATCACTTATTATGAATCAGAAATATAATCTGAAAAACCAAAATATGTTTGTATTACCTAATATTCGTGATTGCATGTTCAATTTATTGGTAGCCTACATTTCGCTGGTATAAAAATTAAATATTTACAACATATCGTATTATCACTGTGCATAGTATTGTTTGTTTTTTATTACTCCGACTGTGTCAATACAATTTTTTCTGTCAATAGTCGAAAACTATTGTACTGTAAACAGTAACGGGCGAAAATACTATGTTCGTAATAAGGTAAAAAATGTTTTTAATTCGATTTCGAACATTATTTCAGGTGTGTACAGTATTATTTTGAGAGTATGTGTAGCAATATTATATTTAGTAGAAAAAAAAATCGATTGGTATATTCAATCAGCAACATATCTCATTGAATATTTTTTAATTTATCGTAACGAACTACTAACGTACGAAATACGTAATACTCCATTTGATCATATTATGTGCAGCGTGTGCATTAATGTTTATTTATTTTTATGTTGTTTCAGTTCTTGCAGTTTTTCGAGTTGCAGGGTCTTGTTCGAAAACCATCAACCAGGTAAGATTACGATTGTTCGTTATTTCGTTATACGCGCGCTAAATTGACAAAAACCCGGTGCATTACTGTCATACGTATGTATGTATGTATGTATAAGTATTACACAATTTTAACAAAAAAAAAAAAAAAATCAAAAATCAAAACAATCGACATTTCTAGCACTCGACCGTGCAATATTGTGTACTAATTTTTTTTTTATTTATTCAATCTTGCATACGACATATCGAAGCCGTTAGCATATTATGATGTTCGTGTTGTGCACACTCGTTTCCCTTGTGCTAGGTACTATACTTAACACTTGTTTACCGCTTACTAGCTCATGCCGACGACGACGTTCTTTTAAATTCCAAAGGAGATGGTAATTTTAAATCAGAAACAAACTAATAAAAAAATCGTTTATCAAGCGAAAATTTGGTCGCACGTGATTCGCCTGACGCTTTCTCCGGCGGTCTTGCTGCGTTTCCAGCATGTGCACGTGTACTGCCTGCATTCCGTTTGCAACCCGTCCGATAAACATGTAACGTTTGTGCCGCGTTACGTGCGCGTTATTTGGACGCTCGTATTTGGTGGCGTTGAAGTTCTAAAAATGTAGTCGGCCGAAAAAAAAAGTATTAAAAAATACCCCGTGGGGGGATTGTGGTTTTACCTAAAATATATTTACGTTAGGCTTTAATTTTGCAATGAAGCTTTCGTACGGTTTGATAGCCGAATTTCGGCTAAATATGAAGCGGATTCAGATTCATCCTGAATCTTCCTAATTCGTCGAGCCCGTCCTCTACGTAGAGTTTGGCGTCATTACTGCTCGTGTTCGGGACATCGTAACACAATACTTATTCGTCGCGAGAAACGGTCCGCTCTCGTTTCGCCGATAACTTCTACTTCACCGTCAACGGTTTTTCTCTTCACTACACGCATATTCATTATTCATTCGTCATTCCTGGGGTCACACGAGCGTTTTATTGACGTATTTTTTTCTTTCTATTTACGACGAATATCACGACGTCCGTTGTTGAATTACATAATTTACTACTCACTCGAATTTTCTGTCCGGTCAACATCGACCACGTCCGACACACACTACGACGGACGTAACATGATTAGCGCTTATCGACGTCGTAGTTTATTATAATTTCTATACGCGTGTCCGGTCAAAGATCGCCTTTGCCACATACTCGCGTCCCGTACCACTGTCAGCGCGTATCGAAAATATCGGATATTCCATATTTCACATTATATCAAATGTTGTCGTACTCCAATCGCTTTAATCCAAACACTGGCCAATAAGAATTATATGTTAATACGAACTACCTGGATATTTATCGCATCAGTATACATTAATATAGCATGTGTCAAAAAAAATTAAAAAAAACTCAACATTTTAAACAATTTTATCATAATTTTTACACGGTCATACCGTAGTTGTTTTAATGCGATAGAACGTAAACAATCTGTAATTATAATGTAATTAAAATCATTGTTAGATACTTATATTTTAATATAATTCTTAGGCCTTGATTATACTAAGTTTGTGATGCAGGTACACCATTCAGGTTTTAATCACAACTAATGTTCACGTTCTCCAATTAAATAATTTTACTAGATTAATTTTCAGTTCTTACATAATTTTCTACTGTTAGATAATTTGATGATTCGATTTAATATTTGTTACACTAATAAAATGACGATATTACATCAAAACAATCTTATATATTTTGATTTCATAATTAAAAACAAACGCCATTAAGTATTAAGTATTTAATAGAAATTCACCCGCATCACATTTGCCCTCAGACCAAAGGACTGTCCCGAAGTCAATTTTAATAATTCCACAATTCACCACTCAAGAGAAGCGAAATACATCGGCCTGATACTCGACAAGAGACTAACTTAGGATCCCCATCACAATAGTAAAATAAAACAACTTAACTATCACTTACACCAAATAAGACCATCATTCGAATTAAACAAGATCATCTCGAAATCATCTACTCCTTTAGAAAACTCTTTTCCAGCCAATTTGGTCACATTGCTCTCTGAGGCACCGTTAAACTTTCAAATCTCAGGACAATCCACAATCCAAAGTTCAAATTTGTATGCCTCACCAAAGCGCCCTGATTCGTCATTAGAGTCGCTCTACTCGGAAACTTCAAAGTTTCTATCATAAGCTAGATGGCAGCCACGGTTTACCTAAGATTCCACTTCAAAATGCAGAATCACTCAAACCAACTCATATTCGTATTTTGCACATAAAATCACTTATAGATAACTAAACGACTCAACCGAAAATGGTCAAGAGATTTTCTCAACACTTTCTAAATTTACACTATTCTATTTAAAATCAAGGTAGCTTTAATTTTAGATTTTTTTCATCGCCCCACCGTTATAAATTACCTCCAATTTACTAAATATATATATATATATATATATATATATATAGTTTATATCGTAAATACTCATTAAACTTCAATAATAAAAATAATAAACTATCGCATTACTGAACAACCTTTTTTTTTTATGGCAGTCATATTTTTAAAAAAATTCATCTAATTTTGTATGAAATCAAATAAAAAAAAAAAGTGTGTGTTAACCAAGCCACTTACATTTATTAAAATTAAAGTAACATGTCAATGATTAATACAATTATGATGTAAGTTTAAGAGTTAATACAACCGTTGTTTGTACTTAGTCGTTACTGATAAACTATATATATTATATAACTTTTGTACTTGTCTTCGATTACATAAAATAATTTTCTGGAAGAAATAAGGACATCGAGAATATGAAATTTTTCATACTAACTATTAACTTATAATCCCAATATAAATATATTATATTCTTTTTCGGTTCATGAAAGAATAATTCATCGTTCAGTTATTATTTTTGCATACTCTATGACTAATCAATCATCGGTGGTTTTTATTCTTAGTATTATTATTTCAAAAATAAATGAAAATAAATCGATGAACAATTAATATTGTATAGCTATTGATATTATTTAGCTAATTCTGGTAAAAAAGGTCTAATGATCCATTGTTTTAAATAATAAATATATTTTATGATGAAAAGAATAATTAAAATAATGAAAATAATAATAATTTAAGTATACTGTTATAATGTAATATTATTATTGTTATTTTTCATGTTTAGTTCTCTCTTAATATTAAGACGATTAATCACTTAATAAAATTTTCTTATAAAATTTTTAAAATAATTGATAAGCTTTAAAAGATCAAAATTTTTTTTAAAATAAAGCAATATATAATATTACATTAGTGATTTTTGTAATAAATTCTAACTTTTTACTCGTTAAAATGATACTATTTACAATCATATTAAATACAGTTTAATACATTATTTAACCATGCTCGTGTGTCTAGGCCAATAAAAAAAGAAATTTAAGAAAGTTCAAATTATTCTCTATGTTATATTATAGTTTAAATGATACATTATGTAAACAATTTTGAAAAAACACGAGGACTAAGTGACTTATGTGTAAAATAAGTTATTCACCATACTCTATTTTATAACCATTAACAGTTTTCCTAAATATTCTAAAGAATAATTCGTCCTTTTTACTAAAAATTGACTACACTACAATAATATTTTTGAACTCTATACTTGATAAATATTTTTAGGTAGTTGGTTGAGTTAAATGTCTAAATTAAAATTTTTTTTTACTAATAAAGATCATAAATTAAATGTTTGAATTCACTTTGAGGAAAAAGAATAGGTGCTTGTCAGACTGATAAAAGCAGAATTTTTAGTCATATAAAGTACACTAATACGTCTTGCTCCAAACAAACCTTACAGAATATAAGCGTTAGAGTGGAGTTAAAAATATTTTTATCTTATAAATAATCTTAGAATTATAGGAACTAAATATTTTGTCAAACTGAAATGTTGAAAGTACGATAACTAACGGACAGTCACGATTTAATCGGATGGAGGAACATAATAACAAATATTAACTCTGGAAAGAATATAATAGCCATACCCACCCTTTATGATGACCATAATGCACCCATATAAATACGAGTCCATCCTACCGATTTCCCGACGTAATCGACATTAAGTTAATAATGTGATTTTTTTTTGATTTTTTTTTTTTGTTTAAAAAAACATAATCTATATCGAAGTGCACGTTTTTCATCACGCAAAATTGCCGAATTATGACTTTGCTTGTAGGTATGCAAACGTTTACGAGTTATGAAACGACCATCAAGGTAATAATGCAACGTGCTGTACATAATGCTGCTCTTATCCTTGTTACCATCGATTTGCCAATATCCATGCCTTCAACAGTCACTAATGTAGATATACACCCTGAGGGATTTTCACGGAACTGAAAACACCGTAACTCCGCGGACCGTTATTATTTTCAACGGGACCCGTATCCTGAACGACTTTCAATATGTATAATATGGTTATAATACCTCGAGCACCATAACTCGGCATTGAAATTATACAAGAAATCAGCAGTACATAACGATAAATATGAAAAGAAAAAAAACGATTAGAGTTATTCACATAGTTTGTACACAAACAATAAATCGCATAAAGTTCGAAAAACGTTACTCTATGAATAATGATTGAATACATGGCTAATATACTAACATAGTATGTAGTATAAACGCACGAGGTTTTTATCTATTCGAGTGAAACATAAGGTCGTTTCGTTATACGAGTATAATATTATAAGCGCCTGAAATTAATCATGGTAATAGTTATGCAATTCCATTTTTTTTTACAAATTTTTAAATTAATTGTTTGTAATAAATATCTAATATAAGTCTTACGCTGAGAACAATTAACGCACATTTAACTTGACTAAGAATAACAATTTGAATGCTCTCGTTTAGAAGAAGATATTTAAATAAAACCCAATCTATAGGGTGCACTTAGTAACTATAACTGAATGTAATCGAATGAAGGTCAGTAAAGTTAGTTACTCTCTTTTAATTACTTTATTCGATAACGTTATCGGCTATAGTTAAAATGGA